CATATGCCGTTTCCATGGAAACGCATCCCTCGCCATAAAACACGATGTTGTCGTAACGCCTATGAAAAGGGTCAAACAGCACCACACTTCAGATAATGGTTAACGGTCCAGCCCTCAACAGCTGTACATCAATTATGGGGTTTCATCATATGCCGTTTCCATGGAAAGGCATCCCTCGCCATAAAAAAAGGTTGTCGCTATAACTCCTATGAAAATGTTCAAAAAGTGCTCAAACTTTACATGTGTGCTAACAGTCCAGCCGTTAAGACATCTACGGGACGGTTTAGAGATTTCTTCAAATGCTGTTGCCATGGCAACACAATGCTCGCCATGAAACACAGTTTTCTCATAACTTCAGTGAAAATGCTCCAAACGGCCCAAAACTTCACAGGTTTGGTAACGATGCAGCCATCAACGCATGTAAGCGTATTATGGGATGTCATCAAATGCCGTTGGCATGGAGACAGATCATTCGCCATCAAGTTAGTTAAAAAATTTGCAGTTCAAATATTCTGCTGCTTTTCCAAGCCTTTTTACTTTATTTTCTTCTCTTATCAGACATTAAAGCCCCCAGTGTTCATGTATCATTTCAATCTAAATTCTTCACTTTCTTCTTACACATTACATTTCAGCATAGCAGTTCAGCGTCAGCTTTTCAGCATAAAGCATTCCCACTAGCAATTTATTCAGGAATTGCATTCTCTAGTTCTAGTTGTTTTCCCGTGCTTCCAGTCTTTATGCTTAGCTAAGATAATTAGCTGCTGGTCACGACATGAGTGAAATCGATCTTCTCATCTTACTCATCCCCGAAAGTGTCAAACTATTCCTATTAGCTCCAACAGTATTCACCTAGTTGAAAAACATGCATCTATACTAGTAACACTCTGAAATGATTCTGTACTCACCATACATCTTTCCCTCATCAGACAGGATGATCTTCCTTCGTCCACAAGGAGGATAGATAGCCAGGGCCTCATGGAAGCTCTGTTCGATATCGGGGCTCCACACCCCCTCGGCCTCATTGTCCATGGGCTTGTCTGCAGAGTCGCTCATCCTCTCCATGTCCTCGGCAGGGCTCTCGCTGCCGCTCCAGCTGCTGGGATCAATGGTGGCGGTTGGGCTCTCCAAGCTAAAGCCTGGAGCAAACTAGGGAGAGACCTGAAATTCCGAAATAAACAAACACAACCAAGTGGTCAGTCTCTACAACACAACAGTTGACATCTGCTTCCAAATGAGAAAAAGAGTGACACAGTACACACTGTTAGTTGAGAGCACAATGTGGAGCAGAAGCAGCCAAACAATCTTGAACATTGCCAAGAAGGTAGTTGACATTGTTTACAATGAATGTTATGGTTTGAACCATTGAACCTTTTCATTCATGGACTGGTGGCTTTGGTTATTTTTGGAATGACAGCACTCAGTAAAATAGTTACATTTGAAAACTTGTTTAGATCTTACAAACCAGACTATGAGAAGTGCATCCCATGCCTGAAGAACTCACTAAAGTGATGGAGTGCCCCATCCAAACTATTACCCTATTCTTATAAATAATAATTAATTAATTATATAGGATCTCGATGGGGAAATTAGAGGCCAGCGTTCAACATTCCCCCAACTGTGTCTGTGATTGTTAGAAAATGATGTTTAGCAAGAATAAAGTAGTAAAACCAGGAAAAACAGCACTTTGGCTAACGTCACTATCCAGCTACAGTCATACCACACGACATATTGAAGTCAGAGACTCATGACAATCAGAGGCTATAGGATTCTTTATCTTTTTTTAAAGGCTGGGGGCTGCAGGCATCCCAAAAAAAAAAAAAAACTGCAGTTCAGACTGTGGATCAATCCAAGATCCCGCCCCCCATTGTGCATCTTACCAAGCTGCTCAGACAGCTGGAGAGTCTCCTCTCACCAGCAGCTACTGACAAGACCAGCATGCTCCTGAGTGACAGCATCTGCAGTACTGTAACAGTAACCAGTGTCCAGGAACATAAAACAGCAGACTATCCCATATTTTATGTGGAATTACTCACTACAGATTCATGAATGCTGGGCACTAGAGAGGCATGTGTGTTGTAAAATGAGATTCAGCAGTGTTGCGGTCAGTACAACTGTGTGGCCTTCATGAATGGAGAGCATTCTGCACATGTTGGCCTTAGCAGACCCAGGACTGAGTTTATTGCTGCGGTTAAATTACATAAGAAAGAAACATCAGAATGGATTCAAATGCTCCGTGTTGAGTGAGAACATAGCTCATTTATCGTGTAAAGGTTGAGTTTATACAATAACAACATATTCATGACATAGTCTTGTAGCCATATGCATAACTATAAATGTGACGTTATGAAGGAATAAGTGCTTTGCTCATACTATAAAATTATACCATTTTAATTGTTTTCTCTGAGAATGTAAGAGAGAATTGTCTTAAATATGGGTAAATAAATCATGCACAATCACTGCATGTTTGAAAGGTTTGATCCAAGACACAGCAACTCAATACAAAAACATGAAAGAACACAATGAAGGCACATCATCTAAGAGGCAAGATGTCTGGCCAGATCCCAGAGGTAGGAGGCGGAGCAACAAGTGGATAAGACATCAATGAGTAAACAGGCACATACTAAACTCATTCAAGCGGTGTTTTTGTAATTGTCCAATGCAGCTGTCTATACTGTGACTGCTCCTGCAGTTTTTCATGCTTCACCTGAATTATCAAATAAAAACAATGACTACGCGATTGTATATTAGAATGTGAACACTTTTAAACATCTCTGAGTGCATGAGAGTAGTGGCTGAACAGAACCAGTGACACTGTGTGACGTGCTGAGTTCTCATTTTAGCTTACATGCTAATCAAAAGGCAGTCTTATATTCAGTAGCATGGCGACTGCAAACTAGTTCAAGACAAACATAGAAACAGAATGTGCTTACAATCTTGTGTCAACTGCTTTAATTCACGACCTAAAGTGCTTTTATGTTTTAGTTCCTTTACTGAAACCTCACTGATGTTTTCTCTTCACTTTATCGCTCCCCTCTTTCCAGACAACTGCTTCCTCCCTGAGAAAGATCCTATTCAAGCAGCACAAGCTGTCAGGAAGTGGGAATAGTAGCATATGTTTCTTCCAGCATGTCAGTTCATGAGGGGGTAAGGGGGATGGGAGCAAGCTGTTGGGGAAAAGAAAAAAAACTCAGAGAGAGCGGAGAGAGCTTTTACTGAATTCTGTTTTTGTGTGCCGACTGCTGACACATCAGAACCAACTCACAAACTGATGAGGGAGGGGGAAAAAATTCCTATTTCAACCACTAAAAGGCTGGGATATGCTCCTCTCATCACAATCAAATGATGAACTGTAACCGTAATCACTTCCAGACTACATTCACAGCACGATGGGGTTCTGAGAAAAATATTTGTTTCTCTTTGTTTGTCTCTCCCCATTGAGACCAAACATTGAATCACATTGGTATTTGTACAAGCTAAAGTACTTTTTCAAATGCCAAGAGTTTCTGCCAGTATGTTTCCATTAGTTTTTTTTAATGTCTAGTCTACTTAAATATTCTTTGGCACAAAACTTGTTCACTCACTATTACCAAAACAACCCAAGAACAAACAAATGTTGCAAGTCTGCTTTTATATGTTGACAAACAATTAAAATCGACCATATACTTTCCTGTCAATAAAGAATATATCTATTAAAGCTATGCGATGCCTCAATATAATCATTTTGCCAGAACCAAAAAAATCTGTTTAAGCAAGCATCTTGAGAGGGGATGAAAAGGTTCAAAATCTTTAGATCACTGTATCACTCAGCAAGTCTCAAATCACTCTGCAACACATTAACATTAATACAACTCGTCTACAAAAATTCCAAAAGCAATCTTTCTCCAGATGTGTCTTCAGTATGCTCATTATTAAAGGTGGGTTAGGTAATTTTGGAGAAACCAGCTCGAGTGCGCTAGAATTTGAAAATACACAACCGGAAATAATCTGCCACTTCCTTACAGAGCCCCTCCTCCAACACACGCGCACATGTGCAATGAGGGCTCGAGATAAGTTTGTGCACAGATGGAAAGCTGACAGACAGGTAGGCCATCCAGTTATTTTAGCCGGGCCGGCTAAAATGATTGGTCGTGCTTTTTACAGTACTACGGCTTCCACAGATGACATTTTTTTATGGATTTTTTTGTCAAAGCACTTAAGATATTTATTGCTATCGGGATGTTAAGAGCATTCCATGGAATATAACAAAAAGTGTATCTCGAGCCGGTTTCTCAAACGTACCTACCCCACCTTTAATTGAGGTCAAATGAAACAAGTCAACAAGACAACAAACACTGGATACACTGACATTCAACTTTCCCCTCTATTTACTCTATTCAAGGAAACGTTGTCATGTCATTTTCCAATTTATATTATTAATCTCTCATGTGGTGGATGCCTTTGTTCAAGAACACCTGATATGGTATCACTGCAATCCCTTAAACCCCAGGGGATTTAAGCTTCAAAATCAATTGTTAGTTTCATTAAACAAATTGGTAACACAATTTTTATCTACAAAGAGGTTCCAAAACATTAGATGTTGTCCAAAAACCAGCCAGTTGTGTTTCCCACACGGCCTTTAATCTACTGTTCGGCTGGCTATGCTCTTATCCTCCTACACTAATTTAAAGGAATGTATACATGTATACAGAAAAAATACATCAGCAAGCTTGTACTTAAAGAAAAAAAATTGTGAAAACAACTGAATTCATGTTTAGCTTGGCAGCTGCAATAACAGATCTTTGGAGAATGTACAAACTAAAATAATTGATATGAACAATGATAACATTTTCCAATTACAAATCAAGTAACTTTTCATCATACCTACACTGAAATAATACGGGACAAATGTTATCCCCATCCTCAATAGATCTGTGTGACATGGATCGGATGCTTGTGCTGAGTGCAACATGTGGATAACATGGCTGTGTCGTCAATGAAGACGGTCTCTTAGTGCCTGAAAATCCCCGGACTAATTATTTCCATCAAAAGAAGGTATGAATGTCACCCATAGAAACACTAGTGGCTTACAGATAATTGCATACTTCTGTCTTTGCAGGGTGTTCACCATAGAAATGGTCTTATTTGTGAGATGTGGTGGAGATGGCCTGCGATGCAATACGTGTATGTGGTAGCTAAGCAGAGTAGTAGCTGTGACCTGGCATTATGGGAAATTACACTTACTGGGAGATTACATAAACCACTCACCAAGCTGGAATCCAGCTCCTTAAATTAAGAGAACCCATTTCAAGCATCAGACAGAGCAAGGTAATGAAATAGCAGATGAGAGGTCTCAAATGTAATTTTCCATGTGGAGTTCTTTTGTGCCGTTATCTCAGAGGGTGCAATAATGATTCTGTGAATGACTTTTGTGCACCCCATAATGGCCCACAGTAGTTAAGCCCACTGTGTGTAAAACAGTAATTACCATGTGATTTCCAAACTCAACATTTTCAGCTTGTTGTTAAGCATATCCTGGCCTTTGCATAATTATAACAACAATGTTGAAGATATTCAATTTTCAGCAACACGTGACCGACTATGAACATTTACAATAACTGAAATTCCATTTAGTTTCCTTCATTAAAACTACTTAATTACCTCGGGGAGGGCTTGCGGTTTTTGGAATGAAGTCTTTGACAGCAGGTCTTTGAGGACCTTGACAGATGCGGTTACAGGGCAAAATAAATGTATTTAAAAGTCAATGAAAATACCTTTTGAATTCAATTTATTTTGAAACCTTACCAAACCAGGCTAAGTTCAGGCATGCAGCCTCTACTTAAAATAAATCGAAATCGACTAAACAGGTGAATATTAATCTTGGTTATTAGTCAGAAAAACATTTTTGGGCACACACTTAACCTACTGCTTATTAATTAAGGAAAATAAAATGGGATGATTGGCAGGCAATTTTTAAGTAACAGCAGTCTTGGTGAAAACATATCGTAACATTCTACAGAATGTCACTAAACTACGTATGAATGTCTGGACAAAACTATTGATTATGTATTGGATTTTTCTTTGTTTTCATGAATAAATCTACAGGTTTGGAGTACAGATGAATGAATAAACAAGGTTTTCAATATCAATTTCCGCAGGTCCACTGGAGGGGCTAGAAAGCT